GCACAGGCACAGGCACAGGCACAGGCACAGGCACAGGCACAGGCACAGGCACAGGCACAGGCACAGGCACAGACACAGACACAGACACAGACACACACACACAGACACACACACAGACACACACACAGACACAGACACACACGCACACACACACACACACTATACACACATTATACACACATTATACACACATTATACACACATTATACACACACATACACACACACACACTCACACACACGCGCGCAGAAGTGAACCTCGATATCACAGGTTGCATTAGTTTCCCACCTGGGCATCCTTCACTCTGGCTCTCGCACCACTTTTTTGGAATAATTTATTGTGCTTTCGTGAACAGTCTTTCAAGGCAAGTGGTTCGGGGCGTTTCATCTGGATCCATCTGTTCGTTTGGCTGAGATGGCGGGACTACTTACACCGGAAGGGGTGCATTTTCCCTAAAACATTTGAGTGAGAGAAGCTCTCTCTCTCTCTCTCTGCCTCTGCTGCGCCCTGAGGTAACCTAGCCTTGGCCAAGAAGCTGCTGGACGAAGCGCAGCGAAGCGAAGGTGCCCACAAGCTTGAATTTTTCGACGTGTCCATCTTGCTTCTGGAGGCCTCACCGTCAGCGCCACCATCTTCGGTGCGGTTCTGGCAGGATGCACTTGGGCGACTGGGCATGTTGGATGTGTGGCGGTGACGGCAACAAGGGGTCGCCTTTCAACGCATCAGGCCACGGCTTCTGCACTCCTCCAGTCAGCGAGGGCTGCTTCAGTGGAGGCAGACGCTGCACTGGCAAATGCGGCAGCCAGTGCCGTGGCTTCTTTAGCAGTTGTCGTTAGGGTCACCGCAATGCGACCTCTCGACTCTCAATCTTTGTTTGAAGGCGCTTGTGAGCAACATGGTGCCTGGCAGACAGCAACACGTTTGTTCCTGTTCCTGGGACAAGCCGTCGACACCCTAACGATCGGCGCCTCGGCCTTGCTTGCAGGATGAAAGTAGCTGGGAGCCATGCGGACACCCAAGGTGCCGCAACCGCAGCTTGTGCAGTGGTGGGTGCCTGGGTTGCGGCATTGGGGCTGCTGTTCTACGGCAGCTGGAGGCCACCAGGAGCGCGTGTAGCGCGAGCCGCCCTGGCCCCTCTCGAGGGCACTGCCGTCCGGGCCTGTTTCTCGAGCTGCGGCCGCGGCGGCGGCACGACAAGTGGGCCGCTGGCACCAGGTCCAGTGCAAAGCAGGAGCACATTGACGAAACTGTTGGTATCTGCTCTGCGCCAGGTGGTTGCCTTGCTCACATGGTGCGAAATCGACAAGGCCGTGATAGATTGTGACCCAGAACGCCCTAGAGCGGCGCCGTGAGAGGACCGTCGTCTGGACATCCCCGGAGCAATGCTGGCTGCAAGCTGCCTCGAGGCTCAGCAGTGCACGGATGTCCCTGGAGTCGTGTGAAAGCAGAAATCGCAAGGAAGCAGCCGCACATCACATGCATCAGTACCCTGCTTGAATCCGTGCGTCCAGCATGCCTCTATACCCGTTACTCGGACCCTTGGTGACCTGCACGCTTCGGAGCGCTTCTTTCGGGGTCAACCCTTAAGCAAACCAAAAGTGCGCGGTTTGCAACGAGGTGGAGCGTGGTGGGCTGATGGGGGATGTGGTGAGGGATCTGGTCGGGTGTAACGGCAGCAGTAGTACTAGTGCTATTGCTGGTGCTCGTGCTAGCTGTAGGTGCTGTTGTAGTGGCAGTGGTCGTGGTAGTTGTTGGAGAATGAAGAGTCGACGACTGATTCAGCAAAGGACCGGCTCTCGAGGCGTCCCCAGAACTAAAGCCCCAGAATCCAAACGCGCAACGAGGCAGCGATTCTTCGAATGGAAAGCCATCCCCAAACCCCAATAGATCCATCTGCATAACCAGCAAGCCGATAATCTATCCCCCAACTCCCAGAATCTGCCTCCAACAAACAAACAAACAGCAACTTCCAAAAGGCCTGCGAAGGTGGATATCTATCTGCGTAACCAGGCAGCAAATATCAGAAATACGAGAAGGAGCCACCCGATTCCGGTGAGTGTGAGGGCGGGTGGCGGAAAAAACGACTTCTACCGTTCTACCAATGTCCGGGAAGCAGAGTTGAGGGGATCGGAAGACATGGAATCTACCTGCACGCCGAATTTCCTTCAGGAGGTGCGAAGCCCAAGAACAGCGCTGCAGAGGCGACGGCCACCAACTTCAAAGTTTTTTTTGCTTTTGCACACCTTCGTGCAGATTTTTGCTGTTGCCTTCATTGCGCTGACAGTCCAGTGCGTAGCTTGCAGTCGCAGGCTTTTTGAGGAGGTCTCCAGCTCCGCTGTTCTGCTGCTGTCTGAGCGACGCGAGCTCTGAACGGCTCCAGTTTGAGGAGATTGGCTGAGTGCCCACAGCGATTGTGATGTGCCGTCGCAATGTCAGAAAAGCGGGCACTGCGGAGCCGAATGCTGCATCTGCTTCTGAAGCTACGCTCGTTGCTTCTGACAAACGAGTGTAATGGGCCCTTGCTGCAGGGTGGCAGGGAAAGAGTTGTACCATGTGAGGCCTACAGCGAGGCCGTGGCCAACTCAGAGGACTCCGTGACAGGCGGGTCAGGGTAGTGTGGTCGTACGCACCCATCATCAAAAAGCATTTGTGAAATGCTTCGGGTCACGGTGGACGCCGCTCGCAGTGCGTGCAGGCAGTGATGACATTGGCTTGGCCGAGACACCATCTTCAGTCTACGCCTGGACCTTGGCGAGGGAGAGGTGCTCAGCCTAAGTTTGAGGTGCTCAGTTCTTGGAGATCAGGTGATGGAGCACGGTTTCCTGACCAACTCCATAAAATGGATGCCGGAGCAGCACTCAGTCACCTTGGGGTTTCTCGAGAGTTTTTGGAGCGTCTCGATCCAGTGGAAACTGATTGGAAGATGAAGCCAGAACAACAAGCCTTAATAAGCCCTCTCCAAGCTACTTCAATAAGCCATTTTAGCTTCTTCTTCTTCTTCGTCTTCAGCTGTTCTTCGCCCTGCTCCTCGCAGCGCGGCACCATCATGCTGTCCGGGCATGGGGCTGGCTACGAAGCGCGGCTCAGCGACGCCAAGGCGCCCGGGCAGGTGTCCTCCAGCGGGTAGGGAGGCGCTTCAGCATGCTTCAGGGATGCAGGGAAGGACTCTTGCATATGCACAGTTCATGGTATCATTGAGGAGGCTCTGCGCCTAATTTATGTCTATGCCTATGTTGATTGTTGCAAGACAGCCAGCTCCGCCTGCTGAGCTGGACAGTGCCTGGGTGTCCCGTGGACCTGCAAGGAGTTCAAGCAGCTGAAAACAGAGCAGCTTCAGCAGCTCATCTCCGAGGCGCAATGATGTCTCGAGACTTGTCGAGGGGCTGCAACCCTTGCGTTGCCGCGTTGCCAGCAGGCGGCGAAGGACCACCAGTACTATGCCATTCGCATGTGCGCCGTGATAGTGTTCTTGGCTGCCTGAAGCATGCAGCCCAGAGCCCACGGCCACGACGTCGCGCTGCACTTCGGGCCGAAAGGGTGTCGGCCAGAGCGTAACGTCGTGAGCAGCTAGCAGCAAGTTCTCTAGCCTATGGGCTGACGGAAGGTACAACCCAGAGAACCCCAAGAGAGTTCTGCAGGCCGCGCGGATTGTTACTGGCATGAGCTCGCGTGAGCTTGCGTGCGAGCAGGCCTCCATTCCCGCGAAGCTCCTAGCAGAGCACTTCGAGGATTGGCACGACATCCTCGAGGCTCGCAGAGACGAGCGGCGGCGGCCCGTTTGTCCGTCGCCACTTTTGGAAGAGGTCTCGGTGAGCGACGCTGGTATCCCAGTAGGCCGGCGGGACTCAGCGCAGGCCCTCCCTTTCTTGTGTTCTTTCTCGACCTGTCCAGGCCTCTCCTACAGAGTACGCCACACCCTGGGCTTGATGCTCTTCGACCACACTCAGGTCCGCAGTGTCCGTCGCTTGAGTTACCTCGTTCTCGTAGCCAAGAAGGTGCCTCGTGTTGCTTAGGTTCTTTTTCGGCCACATGTGCTGCCCCACCTGAGCCTGTAATACAAATTAAGTGCGATACTCGATACATGTCGGTGCAATGCTAGTAGCAGGTTGATTTGAAAACTTGTGTCCCCCGATTCTCTAGCGTTGTGCAGCTGGAAGCTGCATCCAGAAGGAAACTTTATCTTGATATCCGGGTCTGACAATTGTTCGGACAGGGCACAAACTGACTCAAGTTTGAGGTGCATCTCTCGGAGCCTAGCCGGCTGGAGGGACCCCGCGTGCCGCCTCCTGTGAGGTGCAGGGAAGCTTTTCAGAGAGTGTGTGGCAAAAACATCTTACGCGATAGCTTCCGTACATGTCTTTGTCATTGGCTGGTCGGAGCATGTGCTGGCTCTGAAGGGATGGCGATGGCAACATCAAGCCTGGTGGCGGGGAGCAGCAGCAGCCTTCCTTCCTGCGCAAGTGCGACCCCTGCATTCGACCAAACTCGCATGACGCTGCGTAGACGTTTTGTTTTCGCCTGCATTTCCCAGCAAACTTTCCTGCTGATCTTGAATGAGAATGAGACTTGGAGGTACTGGTGGGTCATCGCTATCGTCTGGAACTCGGCTAGGTCCTGCAGTCAAAGGCGAATCGCGATGCTCACTGCCGGTCGCTGGGGGCACATTTTTGTTGTACTCGCTGCTAGCGTCTAAGGCAGTCCTGCTCATGTCCAGCATGGGAGATGACGGCTCTGGTGGCAAGGCAAAACAACGCGCTTAGAACTGCTTCTGGGTGTGCAGATGCCATCCTCCATCACGTCTTTGCCTGAGCAGGGCAAGGGTGGCGGTGGCGGCGGTGGTGGTGGCGGCGGCGGAGGCGGTGGTCGCCGTGGCTGAGATGAGACGCTGGTTAGACACACTGAGTTTCATAGGAGCTTGTTCAGCAAGAGCTGACCGGAAACTCACCAAGCAACACCACAAATGCCATACACTGCTGTTGGCTGATCCGAGCAGATTTTGCGCCATATCTGACAGCTGGCGACAGCTTCATCGCAGAGATGCCACAGCCCGAAAGGGGCGGTGCTGACCGTTCCCCTTGACATTGAGCCCGGGAGGCGCAGCAGCACTGCGTTCCTGAAGAGCAATGAGCAACAGTCCTAGGCCCTAAGCTTCTCGAACATAGGAGAGGAGCACTGCCATTGGAAAGTCTTGTTCAAGACCCAAATTTCATTGACCCGGCACGAAGTTCATGCAACCCGGTTCTCATTATGTGCCAATCTGCCTTCGACGTGATACTCAAAGTCCCGAGCTGCGTTGCACGAACATCGAACCTTGCAGCACACGCCCAAGAAAAGGAGGTGTTTCTCAGCATCGTCAAATGGAAGTGCATGGCAGCGCGTTTAGAGCCCAGCTGTCGGAACTGGGCATCGCTGCAGCAGATGGATCCTGGACAGTGAAGCGTTGTCTGCGCCCTCGTAGTTCCGGGCTCAAGAATGACAGCAGCTTTTATCTTGATTTCTTTTTCCGGCTCGAGCCTTGATAGGCTGGTGGCATGTTATCGGCTGCATTAAGGCTCCTCCACATCCGAGACGGCATGTCCAGAAGCCAACAAAAGAGCCCCTAGGAAGCCAAGTCCGTTTTCGCTACAATGACAGCAGCAAACGGTAGCCCCTCAGCAAACCCTTTTCCCCGAGTGCAAATTTTTCATGGCTCTTCTCGACACAGATGGAAGGCTGGAGCAAATAATCTTTTAGGGCTGCTTTTGCAAAGTTGGCTTGCCTCAGTCCTGCCGTCGTGGGCAAGAGTGTGGGCTACTGGCTGGATTGCGCAGTCCCCAGCTGTACGATGGTTTCTCAGGTGTTCAAGGCAATGGAGTGCCCATGTCTGCCACTGAGGCTCAGACTTTGTCTTTGGAGGCCAAGACCACGAGGTGAGGTGTTGTGCGCAAGAAGCAAGGTACAGCATGATCCCTCCTCTTGGGCAAACCCAAGACGGGTTGCAACAGGAAGATGACATCATGGAAGTGGGTCCGCATACATTCCCTCGGGATTGGCTGCATGCTCAGAGCGCATGCCGTCTCAAACTGGTGTCAAGCCTTCCGATGACCGCTAGAGAAATCCGGAGGCCCGATGTCTACTCAGAAAGTGATGCCCTGCGGGCGCTTCTGCGACGCCGCGGGCCTTGCGCCTCGAAGCGTGCCGCTGGGCTGGCAGGGTTTTCGAAGGTCTTCCGGATGAGGCAATTCATCTTCAACGGCATTTGCCAGGATTGCATGTTCATTCATGTCCCATTTCATGAAGCGTATGGGGTCCTTCTCTGCTCACCTTCTGTTTTCCGCCAAGCAGCGCTAACAGGCCGTATCGTATGAAGCGGAGGAGTCGAAGTTGGGGCCTGGAGAGCCCTCCCGCAAGCCGAGGCTTTAAGCCATTACCCGCTGTAGACATCAGAGTAGCTTGAAGCCACAACGTGCAGAGTCATGCCTAGAAGCCCTATACGGTATGTTTTGCCTGATCATTAACTCACTCTTGATGTGAGGTAAGTGTTGTCCCACTTCCAGAGGAGGCGCCGCCTGTCAGTCTGCATTTGTACGGGCGTAAGGGCTCTGGCCAGCGGCTTTTCTCGTTCTTGCACGGACCCCCTTCGTCAAGAGCAGCTTAGCGAATTCGCTTGATGTGTAGTGCTCATCCGGTCAGGAGCATCTCTCCTGGGCAGATGGCCTGGAAGTGTGGCCTTTGCAGAGCCGACGCAATGCAGAGGTGTTGACATGTGTCGACTCCTGACTGTCTGCAGAGCTGATTGTCCTTCGAGCCAGGCGGCTGCAGCTCATGCTGGCCTGGCACTGGTGGAAGGTGAGCCCGGGGTCAGGGAGGGGCGCTAAGCTATGAGTGCTTCTGGAAGGCTGGGCCATCTATGATCTCCTTGATGACGTGACTGGTGCAGCTTTCGTGGCGGAGAGGTACCCATGGGCGATTTTTCGGGAATCGTTTGTTGTGTTCGATTTGTGAGGTACTGGTGGAATGCCACGGACGATGGAACTTGGGTGGATTTCAGCCCAAGGCCTGAGAGACTCAGCTGCCGCGAAGCGAAGCGGATTGTAGCCCGTGTGGCGATGGAGGAGGGGTCTCATCGTTGCTCGGCTGCGTGTGTTACACTTGGGCGCCGAGGAACATGGAGCAGCTGCTGCTGGCCCAATGCCCAGGTAGTTCCACGGAATCGCCTCTGCAGACGTGCCCGAGTGCTGAGGCTGAGGCCTTCGTGCCAGCTGAAGCTCGAGAGGCCGTTGTGCCGGGCGGTCCCAGTGCGGTCCCGCCCTGTCTCGTGCAGGCGACCGTCCTGACGGCGGAAGCGCAGGTCGCCCTCCGAGTTGGGAACGTGTGGACACTCTTAGCGGCCTTCAGAGAATTTCAGAGCAATCCAGGACTTGGCCGAACATCTGGCGAAGCTCCGCTTCCCGAAGGCCAAGTCCCCAGATGCAGCCACTGATGGAGCAGCAGCCTGTGTTTTTCTTACTTTCGGAGGATGGAGACCTACAGAGGGATAGAGGCAACTGTAGGCCAATGCTACGACGACGCTAAGCACGGTGCAAAACAGTGCGGCTTTGACTCCCACCTGAACAGATCCACTGCATGGCTTTGCAAACACGATTCAGCAACCGTAGCTGCCATGGACGTCTTGAATCAGTGCACCGTATATGTGTGCTAGGCACGACGTGCGGGCCGGCGCTCTTGGCGTGTTGCGGCACCGGAGCCAGGCTTCGGTGTTCTCGTAACAGATGTGCTCGCACCGCATAGGGCTGCCGTCCTTCAGTTCTGTACAGACCTTGATCGAAATATCTGCAAGTCACTGCAGCTGTCTTGGGAGGCTCGCCAGGAAAGCATTCCTCCGTTGGTGCTGGGATGCCAACCGCCGGTGATGCACAGGCCCAAAACTACTCTAAATCCATCAGGATGATGGAGCCATAAGAACCGCAAAGGTTCCTTACCGCCGCCACGGCCACCACTGCCACCACTGCCACCACTGCCACCACTGCCACCGCTGCCACCACTGCCACCACTACCACCACTTCCACCACTTCACCACTACCACCACTACCACCACTACCACCACTACCACCACTACCACCACTACCACCACTGCCACCACTACCACCACTACCACCACTACCACCACTTCCACCACTTCCACCACTTCCACCACTACCACCACTACCACGACCACCACCACGATCACCACCACCACCACCACTGCCACCATTGCCAGCACTACCGCCTCTACCACCTCTACCACCACTACCACCGCTACCACCACTACCACCACTTCCACCACTTCCACCACTACCACGACCACCACCACGACCACCACCACGACCACCACCACGACCACCACCTCGACCACCACTGCCACCATTGCCAGCACTACCGCTTCTACCACCTCTACCGCCTCTACCACCTCTACCACCTCTACCACCTCTACCACCACTACCACCACTACCAGTACCCTACCACCACCCACCACCACCACCACGACCACCACGACCACCACGACCACCACGACCACCACGACCACCACTACCACTACTGCCACCACCACCACTGCCACCACCACCACTGCCACCACTACCACCACTTCCACCACTGCCAGCACTACCACGACTACCACCACTACACTCACCACTGTTACCGCCAGCACCACCGCCACTATCACCACTACAATCTCCACCACTGCCACCGCTAGTGCCACCACTACCACCATGCCAACAACTCTTGCTGCTGCTGCTGCTGCTACTACTGCCACTACTGCTGCTGCTGCTGCTACTACTACTACTACTGCTGCTGCTTCTACTACTTCTCATGTTTCTATTACTACTGCTGCTGCTGCTGCTACTACTACTACTACTACGACTACTACTACTACTTCTACTACTACTGCTACTACCTCTACTACTACTTGCTAGTAAGCCGGGGCATCAAAATCGATACTGAACGGCCGGTGAACTTGCAGCATGCTTGTCACTGCCTACCCTCGTCACACTTGGATATGTGCGACGGTTGGAATCTGTACTGCAATAATGCTGCTGCTACTACTACTACTACGACGACGACGACGACGACGGCTACGGCTACGGCTACGAC